CTGATAAAAAAAGGGTGTCAGATTTTGATTTCCAATATTTCTACAGAGGTTTATCTCCAAGACTTATTACAGGAAAGCAATCATATGTAGCCTTTGCATTAATTTGGTGAAGGATTTACACTTTTCTTTCATTAAAAATGCATCTTGCAGTTAATATTCATATAAAGCCACCTAATGCTCTACTGCTGCAAGCACTGAATTAATGGTCTTTGGAAAATGGTGATTTCATGTTTGTTACATGAGCAGTTCCTCTGTAATCCTCCATGTTATGTCCCATCTTAATCCTTACAGGTTACTTTATGCCTGTTTCCGGCACTCGGTGGGCGAGAGGCAGGTACACCTGGATCGGTCACCAGGCAATCACAGGGACGCACAACCATGCATGCATACAGTCAGACCTAAGGCCAATTTAGAGAGAATAATTAAACTAACATAAATGTCTTTGGGCGGTTGGAGGGAAGAAACTGGAAGACCCATGTTAGCATGGAGAGAACATGCGAGCTATGCAGATAGGCTCCTGTCGGGATTAAAGTCCAGGGTCTTCTTGCCTCAAGGCAGCAGTGCTACCAACTCAGCTCAACTTTAAAATTAAGTAGCTCCAGCAAAAACATACTAAATGTGGAAAAAAAAAAAAGAATTTTGAAAGTGTCTCACCAAAAGTGGCTTCCATCTCCTTCCTTCAGATGGCAGGTCCCACTGTTCTGGCAGGGATTACTGATGCAGGCATGAATAGGCTCCTCACAGTTTTGTCCCTACAGACATGCACAGTGATTAAATCTGTGGCTCCAATGAACATCAGACTTTCAAGTAAACAAGTTTTGAATGCAAAGTGTTAAGAATAAAATTTTATTATCTTCTCTCTTCCAAAAACTATTTGTGCATGCATTGTTTACTTAATTAAAGACAAATGGTTCTGCTTCTGTGTAACATACATCATAACTAACAAAATGCGAGTACCTTAAATCCATAGGGGCAAGTGCAGCGGTAGTAGTGCACAGGGTCACCGGAGCATGTGCCGTCATTTTTACAGGGGCTGGACAGACAGGGGTCACACTTGGCCTGGATACTCAAATCCACCGGGCCTGCATGAGGCACCAACCCACAAACACAACACACACACACACACACACAACAAACATTATTAACAAAAACATTTCGGTCTTAGGCATGTGGAGTAGGTGGGAATACAGAGATTTACACACACTTTTGTCGCTGGACATTTTTATGGCCTTGCACAGACAAAATGAAGGCTTGTCATTCTTCCTTCAAATGATTTTTAATGCCGTTATGATTTCAGTAATAAACTTGGTGCAACAGTTGCTGCTTAAAGAATAGTTTTGCAAATAAAGCATACGTTAATCAATTAAAGTGAAATGAAAAATGCCTTTAAACCCAACATGGTAAAAGAAAAAAAAAATGATTTAGCTGCTAGAAGCAGATTTCTTGATAAGATGTCAACCTGAACTCCTACGAGCGAACCGTTCCTTCCTGCATGCTTGCTACAGCAGTCTGCATGTCTGCTTGTTGGGTTTAATGCACTTCTGAATTCAATGATTTGAAGAGGCGAGCGAATCCTTTTCGCAATAAAGAGAAAAACAAAAAAAGCTGGTATTTTCTGTGCAGGACCATTTTTTGAAACAGGTGACAAGTATCCCTAACTCTAATGACAGAATATCAACATTTAACAGCTAGAGGTCACAGTGATCGGAACAACATCAGGGGTAAGGGGGAAACAAAGTGGTTCAGTTTGGGTCGGGTAGTAAGATTGAGGAAAACGGGGCTTGGACAATCTCAAACTCAGGAACCAAGGTTTGGAGGGAAAATACTGGGGATTGGCTACTTTACCTGGCACTAGAAAACCACAAGGCCCAGGGACTTCTACAGTGCGTCAGTCAGATTAGGTCAAAAATAGGTTTCAGTTATGTGTTCAAGGTTAATGTGAAATCTTTAGGTTGAAAGGTTAAGATCAACACTCAGTAGTATCACTTTTGAGTAAAAAATAAATAAACTCAGCCAACAATCAAGCATAAACCTTATAAGCTATTTTAAGCATTCAAACTTCACACAAATGTTCTAGGACTAAAATATTTGTTAATGCAAACCTATGTGAAAAAATAAAAATCACCTCCCAAACCTAAAAACTAATTTTTACCACTGGTGGCAGCAAATGCCAGCATTTTGTTTTTTTCACCTAAACAATGATATCATCAATTAATAATTGCTCTTGGTAGTTACAGTTTTTGTTTGACTAATTTTCGGTTTCTAAAATGTGGATACTTCAGTGATTAATGCTAAATGAGACCAGAATCAAAAACAGTCTAGATATTGATTAATATTGATTGATCTGATGATGGAAAACAAATATTTATTTGACTTAAATCTATACCGTTAAATTGAACAAAACCTTTTATCCAGAGATACAATCAACTTCTTGCTTCTCAAATACATATATATTGCTAAGCTATGCAAAACAAATATTAACACAGACATTTTTATGTTGTTCTCTAACGTGTTCAGTTTCAGATCTACACAGTTTTTTTTTGTTTTTTTGTTATTGAGCTTCAGCTTTTATTTGGCAGCTTGTAATTTCACAAAGCGGCTGTTTCAAGGTTAATCATGTGTTCTTGTTTGTTATTTGTTTTCTACAAGGAAAGCGACAGCATGTGAAATGTGTTTCGCGGTACGTCTGAGTTTATTCCTGCGTCACGGTGGTGAGAGGATGAGCATTTACCTGTGCAGGTGAACTTCTTAGAAGGTGTGGTGAGGAGCAGTTTGTCTGTCATGTCACCGGGCCCAGCACAGCGGGCGATGCCGGGCTCCTTGTAGCCGCTCTTGACCCAGTCGGACAGCCACTGCAAGTGGCAGTCACAGTACAAAGGGTTGGCACCCAGAGCCCTGCGGCATGAGTGCAAGCAAGATTGAGAGCAATATTCATCACTTTTGATGTGTAATTAGTCAGATGGTGCACAAGAGCTGCACGCAGATCATCTCTAAAATTGTAATTTGTTTCCTGACACAAAGCTGAAAACACTACTTATTCAAGATTATTGTCATTTTGTAAACCACTATTGTAATCCTCAAAAAGAAGCCATGAAAATGGGCTGGCAGAACTGGAAAGTATTTGACGGTAATTTATCTTAGATCTAAAACTGTTAAAAAATAGTAATAATAAGGGTTTGTATAACTTTACTTGAACTTTAATTTTTAATCTTCAGCAATCGAGAGCAAAATGTCAGCATCAGTTTTTTTTTTTTTCCAGTCATAGAATACTGAATAAGTAATATTAATTAAATTATTGATTGGGTTTTAAAGGGTGATGTGCTGATTTGTTATTACTGGAGTCAGACTTTTCTAGATTAACAAAACAGGAATAAATTAATTTGTTGCTCAACTACTTTACATCTAAACTTGACCTCAAGGAACAGGTTGTGCATGTGTGTGTGTTTGTGTGTGTGTGTGTGTGTGTGTGTGTGTGTGTGCGTGTGTGTGAGCGTGTGAGTGTGACTATGAAACTCACAGATGAGAAAGCGAAGACAGGTCTTTAAAGGCTCCTTCCGGAATCAGCGATATGTCGTTACCATGAAGAGATCTAAGACAGCGAGTGATTTAAGTTCAGAGAGGAAAAACGTCACAAAAATGTAGACACCCAGATGTTGAAAGCCTTTAATAAATATTTACCACTTGGCTGGTTCAACAGCATGTTGCATGCGGATACTCACAGCAAACGCAAAGACTTGAGCCCATCGAACGCCCTCACTGGTATGCACCGCAGGCGGTTGTAGCTCAGGATTCTTTACACAAAAAAGTAAACAAAGAAGCTGTTCAGGATATGCTAGATTGCAGCAAGACTTGCAGTGTTTATGCAGGAAGAGCTTGTTGGTTTCCTTTTTGGTTCTGATCCATCAACAAATTGACTCCACTAGACCACTGAAGATGTTCTGTGCTATCTGAGACCAACAACATTAACCCATTGGAACCCAGTCCGACTTTCAACTTTCTAACTGCAAAAGCAACCTAATGAAAGAGAAAACAACTTTTACAATAAATCTTATTTTGTTGTACATGCATTTTCAACTTCTTCAGGCAGATGTTTAATAAATAGACTTGTGTCAGTTTTATGTGAGGCTCTGATACGTAGCGTCCAAGCAAAGGTTAAGAAAAAGTGCATTTTACTGCATTTCTGCTCAAAATTTCCTAAGCATTTAAGAACAACAAATACGCGCACACACGCACACGCACACACACACACACACACACACACACACACACACGCACGCACACACACACACACACTTTCATGCTGAATCCGCACACACTTGCACTCATATCGCAAAGGGACAGATGTGAAGCCAGACTCACAGTGTAAGCAGTTCGGACATGTTACTGAGGCTGTGGTTGGACAACGTGCTGATCTGGTTGTTACTCAAATCGCTGAAAAGGAAACAACAGATGCATAAAACACACACACACACTCACACACACGGAGGCACGCGTGCGAAAACGAATCCACACAGCGCACAGATCGTAAACAGCAGATAATCGCTGTTTGTTTTCATTTGTTCTGACAGCTACACCCTCGTTGGGGCCAAACCCAATGAGATTCAACGCAGAAATCTCACACAGCATCAGTCTGTTAGTGTTGGTCTTTAAAAGTGCAGGAAATATCAGCCCAATCACGGCCCCCCATCTATGTTTGCGATAGATTGCTTTGTGGATTAATGACTTTCTGTTTGCCGAGTTAATGTTAGTCAAACTTACATGAGCGTTAAGTGTTTGTAATTGGAGAGCTCCACTGGAACCTGAGTGAAGTGGTTTCCGTCCAAATATCTGCGCACACAAAGAAAGAAAGAAGAAGAAGAAGAAGAAAAAAAACACATTGAGGGGATTCCGATACAAAATTAGAGTAGATAAAGATAAATATGGAAAATTAAAAAGGAAGGTTGAAAGTGAAAAACCAAACAAGGATAAAATTACATGACAGCCACAAGGGAAATTCCTTATTTCCAACAGTGTGAACAGTCATTACAGTTACAGCCATAATAAACACCGAAATGTAATATTCCCACTGCAGCCTCACACCTTTTTTTTTATTGCAGACACATAATGAAACATAAGTGAGGTTCTATATCTGTCACTGTATGGCTACAGATCCAGCCGTAATATTAAAATATTGGTCAATATTTGGAGAGCAATGTTTCCCACAAAGGAATGTGTTAAATATTAAAAAATACCACTAACTCTTGTTCCTATTTTTTTTTTCTTTTGAGCTACTACAGTCTTTTCTTCTGGAGTAAAGGAGGTGGATTTACTTGAGATTCACAAATAAACTCCTCTTAAAGTTAAGGGAAGAGAGGTTTCATGGCTGTCCCCTGTATATTCCTATGCAACTTGAACAGGTTTTAAAACTCAAGTCGGGTTTATTTGTTTCAGCAACAAGGCAGTTACCATGTTGGGTTTGAGCATCATACCATCACCAATTATGAAACAATCAATAAACATTATATTTGGTCAAATGTCGTCCTCAAAAACCTCAAGCAATACACATCAAATATGTTGATCAATGTTCCAGTTACTGCTAGGTAAAGGAAAATGTCTTTTAAGCCTTGATTTAAAGGAACTCAGTGTTTCGGCTGTTTTGCAGTTTTCTGGAAGTTTGTTCCAGATTTGTGGTGCTTAGACGCTGAATGCTGCTTCTCCATGTTTAGTCCTGAGAGGTGTGGAAGGTCGACACAACAACATCAACTATAGCAGCAGATCTTTATTGTATTTTGGTGGTAAGCCGTTCAGAGATTTATAAACTAACAAAATAATTTTAGAGTCATTTTTCTGAAAGTTTCAGTCTGGTTTGTACAAATCAAGTACTTTTGATTATCTGACCATTATTAGAGTGTCCTCCTCTATTAAAGCAGGAGCTCTTGTAGTTTATTAGCATGGCACATGGAAAAGAGTATTATGTCAATAATTACTTAAAGAAATAATTGATGGTAACTATAAAGGTCATAAGTTCAATTCCAAACAATTTGACATCCATCAGTCTTCAGTGACATATATTATTCCCAAGTGAAAAACATTTAAGTTTCATCTTCCAGTGTTTCCAAAAGCAAAAGTTCGAGAAGGACTGACCCAAAGGTTGAATCGTGCATTGCTCAGAAACTTGCAAAGCAATGCCCTTCCTATAACTGAGTAAAGTAGAGACGTTTGGCGATAATGTATTACATAACAGTCCAAACACCTGGCACTACCTGTGCATGGTGGGGGAAGTGTAATGGTATGGGCCTGCTGTGCTGCTGCAGTCTCTGAGCACCTTTTAGTCGACCATGAACTTTATAAATTAAATTTCTCCGCAGTCAGAGGAGCGGGCGTCTCTCCAACAGAAAAATCTCATCCAAAACCGAGTCGTCAACATGACGATGACCTCAAACTCAGGAGCCACAGCTTTGAAACAGGGGGTAGGAAAGAATCAGGGTGATGCAATGGTTCAGTCAAAGTCTGGTTTCACTCAGGTTTCAGTCAACCTGATCAAACTGATATGAAGCAATGATCTAAAGGAGGGAGGGCCAAATGCTCGTCACAACGAGAGACTGATATGCAGAAAACAAAAACTTCCACACAGTATTAAGTCATGATTTCCCCACGGCTACACTGGCAATCATGACTGCATGTTTGGTTGCTCCTCTACAATCCCGTGTGTTTTTGCTGTTTATTGTTTCATGTGGAGCTTCAATCAGTTGCTGCCTTGGAAGAAAACTGTGAAAACATTACTATAGGATTCAGTAAGGATCACAAAAAATTGAAAATGGGAAAAAAACAACAACAACAACAACAAAACCCTCCAGCCAGGAGCTACTTTGGTCTAATCTTTTATCTAATATTATCAAATGAATAATGTTTGTTCGATGAATGGGTAATGCTCATTAAAATATAAAAATGGATAGGAATCAATTTATATTTTTTTCTTTTTCACTGTATTCACTTTCAGATTGACTGAATCTATTGTTATGTACTTTCTTGCACCTTGTTTTCTCGGTCTTTTCGTCTCAGTCCAAACTTTTTGGATTAATTTTAGATAAAAGTGGAAATGAGTATAGATTTTTGCTAAAGGTTTCAACATTTAACATTCTCATATTTCCAGACACTTAGAGATTGACAACAGCCCTCCTGTGACCCCATGAGCGAGTTCAGACAGTCGATGGACGGATATTTTCAAGCGGTTGTGCTAGTATTACTATTTTCATTGTGCAACATTTTGTAACTCACAGTTCAGTGGTCTCTTTCGGGAGGCCTTTGGGCAGCGTGGTGAGACCTTTGTTGCTGCAGCGCACCACGGTGTCCAGACAGGAACACTCAGCCGGACACCTCAGAACGGGAGAGCAGCTGTTCTCGTTGTTTCCTGTCGTATTCAGTGAGGAACGTTACAAAAGAGATGGCAGAAAAACAGCGATGATGAAGAACAAGTCGCTCCACCTCACCATCTTCACAGGCAAAGTCCTGAACAGCCACATCCTGGATGGGAATCTCCTTCAGGAAATAAGGGTTTTGGCAGCGAGGATTCCCAGTCACGATGCGTTTCCTTCTCAGCCAATCGCCGAGCCAGGCCAGGTGGCAATTACAGTTGAAGGGATTGGCCAGAAGGTTCCTTGGGAAAAAAAAAAAAAAAAAAAAGTTAGTACCGTATGAACAGATGCCACCGAGCAGAAGGCAGAGAGAGTCACGCTGCCATGTGTACCCACAGCGTGGAGAGAGAGTGCAGCGTGTCGAAGGCGCCGGGGTTCATGGAGGTGATCTGGTTGTCGTAGAGAGAAAGGAGTCTGACAGAACTCAACCCCACGAAGCTGCTGTTACTCACACAGCTGATCCTGTTGCTCCTCAGCATACTGCTCACACAAATACATTCATATCAATACATTTAGAGCAAAATAATAATAATAATAATAATAATAATAATAATAAAAACAAAAACAGACTGCACATTTGGGCAGAGAATATCAGTGTGTGGAAGCTTATGAATATTAGTTGGACTCGACTGTGAAGGTACAAACAACCCATGAATGTTCTGACATGTTTTCTATACTGAAACAACAACAAACTTCAATGTATTTTATTTACATTTTATGTGACACATCAAGGATCTGCAGCAACAAACTCAGGTTTTCAGTTCATTATTCTTACAATATTTATGTTGAATTTTCACAAATGACACTAAAAGTGACAGTAATATGCTTAATGATAGGTATTTAATGTTAATGTTAAAAGTGACAACAAATTTCCTATCAGAAGATATTTATCTACAATTATAAGTTTTCTTTTTTTTTTTTTTTTCCCTCAAAAAACTGTGTAACATTTGAGGCCTTATATGAGTTTTATGTGGCTGGCCTGAGAGTAAAAATGGCTCTTTAGGCTGTAAATGTTGCAGATGCCTATGATAGGCCAACACAACTTCCCCACACCATGATGCTGCCTCTGCCATGTTTTACTAAAGAGATGACTTGCTTAGGGTGGTGTGCATTACACATTTTCGTATATATATAATGTTTTACTGGTACACAAGAAAGTTTAACTTAATTAGTTGACCAGCACACTTTTTTTTTTTTTTTTTACATTTCTGCTATGTTTTCGCTTGTTGCAAACAGCAAACAATGCTTGTTATGGTCTTCTTTAAAAGTGGGTTACTTCCTGCCACTCATCCATTATGTCCAGATTGCTAAACTTTACAAGTAATAGTCCTGTTCGTCTGCTGCCTTCGCTGCAACTACTCCAAGAGTCACAATGGGTCTCTTGGCTGCTTCTCTGATTAATGGTCGTTTTTTGGTAGGTTTGCAGCTGTGCCATAGTTTTTCCATTTCTGGATGAATGATTGCAAAGGACTCAGTGATATAGTTTTACAAGCTAACCCTGCTTTGAGCTTCTCCCGTTCTGTCTGCTGCATTCCTTGGTTTTCATCATCACTATTGTTCACTAATAAACCATCACAGAACAATTAGACTAATGCTGAGGTTGCATCACGCACAGCAGGATGCTATTTAATAATTAGGGGACTATGAAATGCAATTAAAAGGGACTGGATTTTATTTTTGGGTATTTGAGTTAAGGAGGATGAATTTAAGAGCAAACCATGTATGATTTTTCTTCCACTTCAGAACTGAGCAGTATTTTGTGTTGGTCTATTACAAGAAAAATCCAATAAAACACCACATAGTTGGTTGTTGTCCTCTTAGACAATATATTTATATGTGTGTGTTTGCTCACAGTGTGCGGAGGCCACCGAGTCCCTTCAGCATGCGGTGGTGTATGTTCTCCAGTCTGTTGGAGGTCAGGATCAGCTCGTTGACCCCTACAGCTCCTTCAAAAGTCCCCTCCTCGATGTCGCTGATACGGTTATTACTCAGGTTACTGCAGGGGGCAGTAGAAATCAGAGATAAAGGCGAAGCAGCATGAACGTAGAGGGAAGAAAATACAATGTTTTTATAGTTATAGTTTTTTTTTTTCTGCCTGACTGGAACATGACTTTATGACATCAATTTCTGACTCACATCTTCCTTAGCTGAGGCAACTTCTTGAAGATCCCCGTTGCCTCGAGCACCGTGAACTCATTGTTGTTCAGACGCCTGGAAACACATGAGGTGAAAGGAGAATCCAAAATAATGAGTAAAAGGCAAGAAAGAGGGCATGGAGGCCGACATGAGGTTTCTTTTTATTAATCACACTGAAGTCGAGAAACAAAGGGTGACTCACAGCTCGGTGGTGTACTGAGGAATGTGATCGGGGATTTTGGTCAGTTTCTGGTTGGAGCAGTCGACCGTTGTGCCCTCACAGCGGCACTTCTCTGGGCAGGCCAGGTCGGCGAAGCAGTCACCTCCAAGCTTGCTGCGGTAATCCTCATTACCTGATCACAATCACAGCCAAGATGTTAAAGAACACCATTACTGTGTGGGAAAGCAAACCCTGACTTGGTTTGCTTTCCCACACAAACCACACAACGTGGTTTGTGTGGGATATGCAAAGAACTCTCTGCATATCCAGGGTTCAGGGTGTGGCTCGAAAGGAAGACTTTTGAAACGTTACAGAAAGAGCTGTTTTTGTTATAAACTAAATACGTCAAAAAAAAAAAAAAAAGAGAGAAAATGTGATCACATGCAACATCTTGCATCTGTAGATGCTGAAAGTGCATGTATATCATCTAGAAGAATGGAGCCATGTTGCACAAATAAGGATACTCAGTCTATGAAAATAACCACAGAGACACACATGCACCCACAACAGAACAAAGAGTTTGGAGCTTTTCTGTTCTGTCAGGCCAAAATCCGACTATTAGGGTAAGAAACCACAGTCCAGACCAAACATCATCAAAAATGAGATCACAGAGGAAGGATGTTCATACAGATTCCAGAACGTATTTCCCCCTATTCTCCCCAAAAAAACACCACATGCATAAACACACAGGCGGGCAGAGACAGGAGTTTGGTTTCTCTTGAGTCTCGGCCATGCTGCAGGGATTTGCAGCGCCGTTCCATGGTGCTTGACAGAACCATGTTCCCCTTTAGGAACCTGGCAGCCACATGGTTAGATCAAGCACAAAGGAACAACCTGCCGACTGACTGCTCCTCCACTGGAACACAGGGGTCAGAGGGACAGAGGCGGAGGAAGGAGCAGATTAGCGGGAAAGAGGGTCAGACGGGAAAGAAAAGGGGATTTTCTAAACAGATTCCCAAAACTTTCAAATACAGGGAGGAGGAACGGAGAAGGATGAGCCAGGATTTGAAAAAGTGGACAGTGCCTTGCAAAAGTACTAATACCTGCTGTTACACATTGTTGTGATTTTACAATAAGAAATCTAAAAAAGAATCTAACTTATATTTCCATTCACCCCCGTTTAATCTGAAATTAAATCCAATCCAACCAACAGAGGGGAAATCTGGTCTGCACTGTGTGACTTAACATTAGTTAGTGAAGCTGTTTGTTGAAGTTCTCCAAAGTTTGTTAGAGAGCAAACAGCATCATCAGGACCAAGAAACAAAGAAGACAGGTCAGGGAGAAAGCTATGAAGCTTTACATAGAATAAGGTAATAAAGAAATTTTCCAAGATTAGAGCATATCACAGAGCACTGCTGAGTCCATCACCTGAGATAGGAAAGACTGCAAATCTACCAAGACATCAACTGACAGGGCAGGAGAGAAGAGCCGAGATGGGCACACAAACTCTGGAGGAGCGCTGCAGAAATCTGGACTTTAGAGTGGCAACAAGAAAAGACTTTGTCCAAAGAATCCCACTGGAAGTCCTGCTAGCGGTTTGCATCATGTGCAAGGCAACACAAACATTGAATTGATGCAAACAAATTTTTACTGTTCGGCCTGTGTGCAAAATCCAATGAGTTGGAGATGAACTGGCTTTATCGTGAGCACTATGGTGACACATTGTGACGTCGTTATGCTCTGGGAATAGTTTTCTCAGCAAGAACAGGGACATTTTTTAGAGTTAGTAAAAATATGGATGGGGCTAAATACACAGCAATGCTGGATAAAAACACAATTATAGGCTGCAAACGTTTTGTGACTGGGTCAAATGTCCGCCTTATAGAAGTACTGAGGACCAGGACACTGACCCTTGAGAGTTGGAGCTTAAGTCCCTAGATTTAGTTTAATGAACAACCATGTATTAAAAAGGCTCAGTCAAAGTCCAGACCTAAACTAAAAAAAAACAAAAAACTTAAAAAATAATGTTTGCAGATGCTTTTCTTCTGTTTTTACTGAACTTAATCTATTTTGATGGAAAAACATGAATGAAGTTTCTTGGAGCTGTGATTGTGCAAAGTGGCTCTACAAAGTCTTGACCCCGGGGTCTGGATTCATATGCATGCTCCACTTTTCAAAGTTTCTTCTGTAAAAATAAAGCCAACAACTGCGAGCCATTGCTCTTTTTTTCTTTTACAACTTCACACTTATGCCTTTCTCTCTCTTGGACTGTTAAATGGATTCCAATAAAGTTCATAAAAGTTTGTTTGCACAACAAACATTCATGTATTTTGTTTTATAAACTACACAATGTGAGGACATTCACTGATTATTCATGCTTTTGCAAGGCACTGTACTTGGGAGAGAGACCAGAGTAAAGGGCAGCAGAATGAGGGATAAAGTAAAGAAAATGGAAAAGAGTAAAATAAGGACAGCTACACGGGATGATAGCACAAAGGGAGGAAATAAGAAAAAACGGAAAAGGAAGCAAAGAAAGACAGAACAGTAGAAGTCTTAATAATGAAATACACAAGAAAGGGAAAAAAAATAACGGGAGAAAAATTAAGTTAATGTATTATTGTTTTGTAGCAGAAAATTTCAAATAAAAAATTAAAACAGAGGAAGAGAGATTATTAAAAACACAGGAAAGTGATCTCAAAAGAAAAGCAGAGAGGGTGTTAGAATAAAACATCTACAGGCGTCTACATTTCAAGAACAATAGGAAAAGGAACAAAGCAGCTATTGAAGAGTGGGAGGAGAGGTACAGCAGCAGTACAAGAGAACCCTGACTTCTGGGTACAACACACACTCACCGACACCGTCTCACAAAAACAGACACAAGAAAAATACATGAATGTGTCAACATGTAGACATGGGAATATAATCTCATTTTATTATCCCTGGTAATCAGACAGGAGGAGTCACAGAAAGGTCAAAGGTTGCAGGTTAGCTCTGGGAGAAGAGGTGAGGGATTTGGAGAGCCGTGTGTAATTTTTGTGTGTGTTTCTTACTTACAGCTGACATGGTGTACTCCTGAGTGTGTTAGAAAGGCAGTAGGAAAAAGAAGAAGGGATTTGACTCATTTGTTATATCGGAGGAGTAAGAGAAGTGATGGAAAACGGTGTAGAGGAAGAAGAAATAAAAAACATCTGGGTTTTGTGCTGGTTCTGTCTCTCAGGCAGAGTAACTCATTCAAAGCAATGAGTTGTGAGTGGTGACAGTCATGCAGGCTGCACACATCTCTCCTGATTTTCTCGAAGCCAAACAGGTTTAAGCCCCTTCCTGTGAGAAAGTGACATTGAAAGTGCACATAACCTCAAGAAGGAGCCAACTGTGCGAACATTAAACTTCCACCGCTCTGAGTGCAGAGCACCTGTAAGTCGTGAACATATTGCAAATTAAACTCGGCGATATTAGATGCATTGATCTGAGCTGCAATATCAAGGTTACGCCAGAGAACAGAGCATGTTTATGCAACTTTACACTCTCACATGTTGTTAAATTATTCAGTGTTGCCCCCTATGTGGTATCTGGGCTTTGAAACTTCTGTCCTCCTGGTGAGCTTTGGCGTTAATGACTGCAGTAAAAACATGCACGCGCACACACGCACACACACACACACACACGCAGGCTGTCTTACGCCACACACACCCCTGATGCTTTAGTGTGCGGCTGTGGTAATGACCGCCTTTAGCCCTGCTACTGATCTCATATGCAAGTCAAATTTGCATATTTCCCAACACCCCTCTGAGCATGGTGACTGCGTGACCTTTTGATGTTCTGCAGTGAGAGAAACATGTACACATGCTCACAGACACACTCAAACACATCGGCTGTCGTTAGACTGGCAAAAACCAAAAACGAAAGAGAGAAAGTTTACAGCGCTTTTTAAAAGCATTGATCACTCCGTTAGCTTTATTTAAAAAAAAAAACAAACAAACAAACATTTTGTCATGTTACAAACACAACCCTCAAAGTATTTTATCAGGACTTTCTACGACAGAGAAACATAAAATAACATGTAACTGAAAAGCGGAAAGAAAATATAATCTTTCACACATGAGACCCTGAAAAGTGTGGTGTGTTTTTGTCTTCAGATGAAAACACACATGCATGCAGTTAAAGTCCTTTGGTGTAAATCTCTACCACTTTTGCACATCTAGAGATCTTTATTATTATTTTTTTTTTTTTTTTTTTTTTTTTTTTTTTTTGCAAAACACTTCAAGTTCAGTTCAACTGGATGAAGAAAATCTGTGAGCAGCAGTTTTTATACTGAGCCAGGAATTCCTTGGAATGAGTTTTGTACTTTGACTAGGTCATTACTTTGACTATATCCAGCATTGCCCATCTTGTGTTTTGTTTCGCCAAACATTTAATTTTGGGCTCTAGGGATCAGAGTAGCTTCTTCCACATGTTTGCCGTTCCCCTAAATGGTTCATGACAAACTGTAAACAGGACTTCTGATGCTCTCCAGAACAATGCACAGTTGTTTTAATTGCTGTGCACACAGGGACTAACTGTACTTACTAATTAGAGGGGGGTCTGAAGGTAGTTGGATGGACTGGACTTTATTTAGGGGTGTCGCATTACAAAATGACTGAAAACGCATGCCGCCCTTTTCATGCACTTTACATTTCACAAGTTTGTGTTTGTAATATGACAAGAAATGAAAAAGTTTAGGGGTGAAAATATGTTTGCCAAGAACTGTATATGCTCAGAGTACAAAGAAACCTCAGAATGTAAACTTTAACAGGCCATCAGACAGTTAACTAATCGGCCCTTTGTCGAGGTTATGGTGACGAACATAAAGCCGGTGCAAGTATCAGAGTGCGACTATCCTGTGTGTGGTTAGACACGGTGCTTTATAGGTAAACCTCATAACGAAAAGTCGAAAAGGGGATCTGGCTTCAAATGGTGTCAGTCAAGGCAAACTGCACTGGGTGAGCGTGTCACGAAAAAAGTGCAAATCCCCCCACGCACACATGCTCGGCGTACAATACCTGGGATGAAATACTGCTCTCTGGCTAATGGAGAGACAGAGAGCGGGGAGATGAAAATCAGCAAGAGTGAAAAGTCAGAGTAGAATAGAAAGCTCATGGTGTACAGTCGTCTCTTTGTGAATGTAGAAGTACTGAGAAGAGCCCAGAAAATGCTCAGGTCAGGGAATTTCTGGTTAGTAGAGAGAGGCTGAGGGAAAAACCCAGCAGGAATGCACAGAATGAAAACAGAGGGGAGGACTGCTGGTTTTCTTTTCCTTTTTTTTATGTGTGGATGTCTTGGCGCCCATCTCTGCTTTGTCAGAAAGAAATAGCCTCAGGGCACACGTCAGTGTGCACATTGCTTTTTATGAGCATTAGCCTTGTGCTGTGCCAGTGATTTGTACCTGAGCAGCGGAACTTCTTGCTCTTGATTTGGCCGATCCGCTTGTTGGCGAGCCGCCGAGGGCTGGTGCAGCGGGCGCCGCTCGTCTCAATGGGATTGTCCTGCAGGTAGTCAGCCAGCCACTTCAGATGGCAGTCACAGATAAATGGGTTTTGAGCTAAATGACTGATTCCCCACACGGACAGACATGGAAACACAAAACATACAGAAATAAGATGTTGAAGCAATGCACAAACATATATATGCATGCAGTCCACATTTTTCTTTAATGATTCACTGAGCGAAGAGCAACAAGCACAAAAGGAAGTTAAAGTAAGGCTTCTGGTGCTTTCAGGTGGGGGTGGCGTGAAGTGGCTACAACTAATTATTGTACAACTAACTGCAAAAGACAGGAGCGAGTGTTACTGAGAGGACGAGACATTCAGAAATAACATGAATCTTAAGCTTTTGACGTATCCAGACTCAACCTTTGAGTCTTTCACAGCCTTTTAAAGCATAAAATACAAACACTCACTATAAATTCATTGCAGATATGTGAACAGTGGGCTTGAAGGTAGGACATGAAGAGGGAATGCAAGTAGAAAACAACAAAAAAAAGGAGGGAAGGAAGAGAAAAATGGACACAATGAAGGAATTGAATCAGGATACAAAGAAGGAAGAAGGGACTGGTTGAAAAATGGCAGAACAGAAGGAATGAAAGAAGGAAGAATGCAAGATCTAAAGAGTGACAAGTGATGTGAGCTCCATATGACCCCAACTCAGACAAAATATATTCTCATCTTTCATTTTGATTTTGTAATACAAAATGGTAAAATCAGCTTAAACTTTATTTTTTTAATGTAAATTTCTGCTTAGTGTTATCCTAGAAAAGGGATTTAAAAGTTTTTATCCCAACAACATGCAGTTTGCGGTTATATTTCAAACTTTTACAATAAAACTGAGCATGTGTCGCTTACATAGATACGTAAAGGACACGGGGCAAAGTGACGGATACAAGAGAGTGACAAAAACTACAACCATAAACCGTCTGCTACTTCAGCACCATGGACAGTGAATCTGTCAAAGATTAGTTTGGATAGCTTTGTTTACCGTTCCTCATTTAGGAAACTACACAATGAATTAACTCAGGTTTTTCTTCTTTGACATAAAAGAAAATATGATCTGGAGCCTTTATGTGTCACAAAATTAGCAACAAAGGACTCTTTATGGGGACAAATATGCTTCCATAACACTGGAGCATGTGCTTTGTGAGGATACATACAGTGTTTGTATTGCTCTTAGTGAGGAGAACGTCCCCTTTGCAATGGTCTGCAGCTTGTTGTCATACAGAGAGAGCAGATTGAGGTTGTGAAGGTCCTGAAATGCGTCAACCCGCAGACATGCTATCTTGTTAGCATTTAGCAACCTGAAACAAAGAAGGGACAAAATGATGGAGAAAAAAAAAGGAAAGTAGAAAAGAATCTCGTTATCGTTACAGCACAAATCTTTCAGATCCTGCGGGTCACTAATGACGGCTTTTAGTCAAGATGTCTCCTCTCAGGTGGCAATGCTTGAGGTAAGCACTTTTTAGCTGAATATCAATGAGATGCAGATGTGACCATAAAGATCAACCAAACAGTGCGTGGGTGTGTGTGTGTGCGTTTGTTGCGAGTACTCACAATAGCTGCAGCGAGAACAGTCCTTCGAAGAGTCCCTTGGAAATCTCAGTGATTTTGTTCCCATAGAGGACCCTGCAGAAAACAAACACGCCGTTTACATTAGATTATAAAATCCTTCACGTCAATACTTATGAGCAAATGCTAGAGAAATCTATCTATCTATCTTGAATTAATACTTTCACATAAAGATTTCAATCTATAAAAAACCCGCAAACAGTTTTGCAGTTTAAACAAAAGCCTGAAGTTTTAACAGCAACAAATTAGTAAAATAAATAAAGCAGTGTGAGAAAACACTGAACCTCTGCCTGGTTTTGACCCAACACTTTCGACTCAAGTGAATCACATGTTGTCGTGTTGTCATCTCGCTTCCTGTGTACGACTGTGTGAATAATCATAACTTCCAGTTTGGCTTCAGGTGCAGTGAAAGGTATTAAACCAGAACAGCTTAAAACCACGACAGTGGAAACTGCAACAGGTCAGGGCTGCAGCTGCCACAGCTTCCCCCCCCCCAACTACAACCCATAAGCTACCAGTCATCTGCAGGTAGGCGGTGTTTGTTGGCGGTCTGAACACACGTGCTACAGGTGAGCCATGTTTCACTGAGCTAAGTGGATTTTCCTGAGAGGCCTGATACATTAGTGTGTACTTTCTGTTCACACACACACACACACACACACACACACACACACACACACACACACACACACACACACAATTTATGAATCACTCGCATCCTCTCCACCCTCCTGCTAATACACAACAAACGTTCAGAGCTTTAATACGTATTATGTCAGTATTAATAGGTGTGTCCCGGTCTGTCTCTGGTGAATGTGTGATGAGTCGGTAGGAGCTTTAATTCAGGTGTTAAGCACTTATAAATTATTGACTTTGGCCAGTTTTCACTTTAATGTGACTCTATAGTGAAATATAACTCAACAACTCTCATAAGACTGTCTTTAGCTCCTTTTAAAACATCTTGGAAAAGGCAGTGAGTGCAATTAGAGACTCACGTCACAGAAAGATTAAACAACAATATAACAGCGATTATCAAAGAATGTGCAACACATATGCATATTGAAGCTCGGATTCTTCCTTACACCAACAATATAATACTGAAAAACAAAACAAAACTGAAAAACTAGAACAACCATTAAAGGTAATTTATGTAACCGAGACTCTTTAAACACCCTGATTTGATCTATTTTATGGAAATAACTCAGAAATAAGAGAATATATTCTTTTGGATTTCATATATTTGTTATCTTTTTTGTTCAAATGCAATTTTTCTTCCTTATTTTATGGTGACCAATGTCATGCCAACATGTCTGTGAGACTTATTTATACAGTAAGTAGTTTTGGAGTACTTACAAAGAGTTCAGGGATCGCAGACCCTGGAAGGCGTCTGAAGCCAATTCTGAGATCTGGTTGTTGCTTAAATCTCTGCAAAAAAAATAAAAAATAAATAAAGATGAATAAATAAAAACATGAACAAGAAAATTAAAATCATAATCAGTAGAATGAGAAAAGATCAAAGACGTGGCAGCGACATAAAGTTTTTTGGTTTGTGCTGGATGGGCTGCAGCATAAGCGGCTCTTTTGATCTACTCACATTCTGCGTAGCTTCTTATAAGGAGAAAAGGCCCCAGCTGGGATCACCTTGATGGCGTTCTGCTCCAGTCGTCTGGAACCAAACACACACAGACCATTGAGAGGAGACATTAACATTCCCCCTATCACACACTTATCTATGCCGTATTGCAGGCCGCCGCTCACTCCCGGGGGCTCTGCTTGAGGGGAACTTTTCCAGATAAGGCGCTTTGATGACTGCAGAGTCGCGGTCTGTCACATGCCTCTGATCTTTTGCCCTCTTCAACGCGTTCGCAGAGAGACGGGCATCCAAACACACAAGCGGACGCACACGTTTGACTATCTGGTTTGTGTTTTATCAAGTGCCAGTCGGACTGTCCATCACACAGCCAAAGTGTGAACGAAACAGAATGAAACTAAAAAACGAAAAAAAAAAAAAAAAAAGAGGGCATTTGACTGCGACTCTCTCCTCTGAACAAAGGTTTCTGTGGAGGATAATTACTTAATATCAGTTAAACTTTCCTTCTCTGCATTTGCTGATCTTAATGATTTTGTCCACAACTACAGCCTTAAATGTCTGATTTCACTCTGTGACAGATCACATCACTTTTAGAGCTACTTTAATTACTTCCGCCTACCCAGACAATTACAAGAGTGAACTTTAAAACAAAACTTCTTTTTCCTACTTAGTTAAGATGGTCACCCTCTCTTATTCTAAGACAAGGTAGTAATATAGCTCGTCCTGGAGCTCAGATTAATCTTTTTCCTGCTTCTTTCTTCCCTCTTGCTGTTTCCTTAAGCAGGAATGCGCTGCATGACCAGGCTTTCTCATTTCACAGATGTGTGCTTTTATTCCCCCCACAAAGACAAACAGCGGCAGTGAAACAAAAAGGTGGTGGAACACAAAGAAGGGATATTGAGGGACGCACAATGAAAGAGCAGGAGAAATATCACTGCACCTAGTGTGTCTGAATGAGCACAGTGTGTGTGTGTGTGTGGAGTGCAGCAGATGTGTGTGCACTTTTATCTGCATGTCTTACATCTCAGTAATGGTTTCAGGCAGGTTGGTGGGTATTTCTGTCAGACCCTTTCCTCTGCAGTCCACAATGTTGTTACTGCAGGTGCAGGACTCTGGGCACTGTAACACACTGCAGGAGGAAGATGATGACGACTGATGACCTACACAGAGACAAGGAGGCACCATTATCCGTGGATAGAAGGTTATGTTTCATGCAAGTCCCAAAAGGGGAAAAAGATGCAGACGAATAAGGAGTACAGGGAGGAAAAACTGCCGCAAGTCTCAAAAAGTAAACGAAACGAAATATGACCTTGTCTTTCTGTGGTGTCACTTTTAATCACAGCATTCAAGCAAAGCCATGCAAAGCAGGAGGAAGACTTACCTTCTTCTGCATCTTGACAAGCATGAGCAAAAAAAAAAAAAAAAAAAAAAAAAAAAAAAAAAAAAACAAAGAAAACAAGAAGAGGCAAAAGGTTTTCCGGTGTAAAAGAGGAAGAAGTCAAAGAGGCGGTAAAACGGTAAGGTCAACCTACCTGTGCACACAAACTCCTTCTTCTGCACCTCAGCCACGTTGTGCCCCCGCAAGTGAGGAGGGGCCATGCACTGTGTGTACAAGCCCAGGCGGGGGCGCTGTCGTAGCCACTCGGACAACCAGGCCACATGACAGTCGCACTGCAAGTTGTTGGAGTGAAGGCGGCTGGGAAGAGGCGAGGAAGAGAGGAGAGCAGCGAAGAGACGGGGAGGGGAAAGGTGATCACAGGATGGAGAGAGGAGAAATAAAAGGTGTGACGGGGTACCAAAAAAAATATAAATGTGCGCAGATGAGAGGAATCTCTCCCTTCAAATCGCAAGCTGAGTACTTACAAAGTCCTGAGCTTCGGCATGTGGTTGAAACTGGCCACAGACAGCCGGCTGATGTTGTTGTTGTTCAGAGTGCTAAAGAGACAAGAGGAGAAAACACAACATTACTCATGGACAATCTAGAACGCAGTGACATGGCAAAATCCTCACAGCAAAACAAATGTTCGTGCCCGTTGTTTAGGAGGCAGTTCAGGAACTCTCCAGACCCTATATCACCATCACCTCTGCAAAACAATAACTTTATAAACTTAATTAGCAAAAATTTAGTAATAAAGTCAAGCATAGGTAAGTGGACACTATGTATTAACTCAGGTCTTATTTCGTCATCTGCTGCTTTCAAACAACTGGAATTTAATGCAGTCATTCAAAATGGTCCTGACCCCACAGGCTTTCTGAATGTCTGCCAAAGTTTAAACGACGAGTGCTTTTTCACTCCGTTTCACCCTCTGCGTCACAGATAATAAGACTCCAGAAGTGGACAATTAAGAGTAAGAGGAAAAAATAGCAGAAAGTCGTTATCTTGTAATTATTATGACAGAAGAAATGGAAAATATTTGACAAACCAAATCTGGTTCTTCTAAATATTGCAATCTTTGCCTTGACATTCACAAGAAAAGGCTAACTTCTTTAAATGTGGCGGCGCATTAATGCCACAGCTGAAACAATAGGACATTGTTTCTGTCCAGGGGCTGCAGAGGCTCTGCAGTGTTCAAAAGGTCAATGAGACCATTAGTTGCTCCGTATCTCTGTGTCTTTGCTGCTTATTCATCAAAAAACCTCTGCTGTTTTCTGCAAGGAATAAATAGAAATTGAAACAAATAGTAAAAAAAAAAATAGTAAGCTGGCTCAACAAGCAGGTACTCACAGCACTTCCAGGTCACGTAACGCTCTGAAAGCTCCATCTTCAATGCAGCTAATGTGGTTGTAGTCCAACTGTCTGCAAATACACAGAGAGAGAGATAAGACAAAAAGTCCAGAAAAGAGCTGAGCAGGTAGAGACGTCTTAGCAACTGTGATGTCTACAAGTATAAACAAAAACAGACTTTTTCTCTCGTCTTCTTCTTTCTGAGCTCTCGCTGGTTCTAATGTCACCGTCTTTGCCCCCATTCATGTTTCCTGCTCTTTTTAATATGACATTTAGTTTGTAGGCAGCTGACTTTCTGCCTCTCTCTCTCTCTGCTCACAAAAGCTTTGCTGAAACAATTTAATTAAGACACAGGGACTGTAAATCATGTGCTGTCACCGGTATTCTGACGCACATACATAATTCCCTGTCCTTTTACAATAATTGCACGGCATTTAAAAAAAAAAAAAAAAAATCTTTTCGGGTGATTAAAAAAAAACAAGGAAGTAGTGAATTGGTGGATGAATCAATATTTATAGAAGTACCGCTGTGCAATGAGTGAAAAAAAAAATTATGACTATGAATGAATGCAAAACAAAGACGGAAAACAGCAAAATGCCAGCGAGGCAACACACGCGCGCGCGCACGCGCACATACACACACACACACACACACACACACACACCAACTCAGCTGCTGACACGCAGCAGGTGCCAGCCAATACGGCAAGCAGGAGGCACATGACATTTAACACAATGAAATATTGATGCACGGCCGAGCGAGCGCTGTGCACATTAGCAGACGTGGTGAGGAGGAAGGTGCAGATGTGCACAGATGCATGTACAGGGAGCATGATGTTGGTGGAGTCACACTTACAGGTTCTTGATTTCCACAGCTCCTCTGAATGCTTTTCTTGGAATTCCCTGGATCTGGTTTTCACTCAGGTCACTGGACAAAGACAAAGAGAGAAGAGGAAAAGGGTTAGTGGGGGGGAGGGTTTCGGTGAAATGATTTGGCAGGGAGCTAAGTCAAGCTGTCACAGAGCCACTTGCTTTGAAGCACAAGCACTTGATGTAATCACCAAAATGCAGCAGGGGAACTTCAGAGCCAGACAGATCATTGGCAAAATTGAGGTCGTTCCGCAGAGACCCCTCACTCCACAAACTACAGTCATCTGTCTCTGTTTATCTCACAGTGTCCATGTCTCTACAGCCAGCTGCTACTCAACTGTGCACTTTTAGCAGTGAGAGGCAGGTAGAGGAGGCTTTAAATCCAGCCTGTAGGGGGCACTGCTGCCCTCCGCATCCCTCACAGACTCCTGCTTCTTCTCTGATCACTAATCTTCGCCGCCGTTTCCCCTCCCTTGCTTTTAAGGAGGAAGTGATGAATGTGAGCGCGTGTGACCAGGAGCGTTAGGGTTTACACAGATTTAATTTTCAGCCACTTTAACTAAGTTGCAGTCTGCATGACTCAGAACATGCATTTACACTCAGAAACAGGTGTCTTTAAAACTAAAACAACCGCACTGCAATCAGTGGCCTGGATTGTTTTAGAAATCTGCTCTAATTCTTATATACAAAACAGCTCAGTATCAGTTTGATTGAATCCAGTAAGTGTTTCAAAACCACATTTTAAGAGCTGCTACAAATTCCCATTTGGACTGAGGTCTGGACTTTGACTGAGCCATTGTAACAGCTTATGTTCGGGGTTGCTGTCCAGCTGGACGATCTACCTTGGACTCGTTCTTGAGTCTTTTTCAGCCCCCAACAGGTTTCCTTTCAGAAAATGTGCAGCCTCATCCATTTTCCCATAAACACTCTCTAGCATCGTTGCTCCTTTTGGGGATAAACGTAGCATGATATTGCCAGAACCGTGTTCAAGCAGCCACACTAGAGATGTTATTTAATGCTGAGGGAAAACAGGGCTACGGGGCTGAGATCCAGAGAAACAGCAATGTATTACAGAACGTCACTTCAAAGCACAAAAACAAACCAAGTCCTGCTAAGATTACATTTAAATATGTCGAAGGAGAGATCTTGATTGTGTGTCTCTGATATTATTCAGTCATCTCCTGACAGACCACCTGACCTTTCACCGTTGACCTTCCGGCTCTTGACCTCGTCTGTGACCTCCAACAATGGTAATCGGCTACCAGCTAATCCCCGTTCACATTCCTCAGATTCCAAACTTTGCGGTCAGTTAATCAGCACTGCAGGTATCGTCCCCCTGCCTCCTCCGCTCTCCACCTGCTGCTGCAAACTTTATTTGAAGTGGCGATTTTGTGTGAAGAATAAAGACAAGAAAATATTGGAAAAAAAAAAAATCTCTCTGCTTCAACCTTTTAGAGAAAACTGAATACTTTCATAGGCTCTAAGACTGCAGAAGGTTTGACTTAAAGTGGAGACATCTGGAAGAAAAAAATGAAAAATCTCTGAAAACTTTTGAGGCAGTCTTACAGTCTTACTGCAACTGAGAAGGACTAAAAGGAAGTGAACTCAGTGAAAGTTAAAATATGAATGCTTCACCTGAATACTGAACCACATGCATTAAAGATGTTCAAATCTGTGCATTTCAGTGCAGCATTTTCTGTTTCTCTCCTTTCAGTCATTGTAAACTGGAACTCTCAAGTCTATTCCATGGGTTAGAAAACCATGTACTGAAACCCCTGATAAATGTTGTGGAGCAGAGATTAAAGCAATCATAACAAGTTTATTAACTGTCAGACTGACATTAACGCAGAGGCGCTTTCAAAGAGTTTTGTAAAAAGGGAGTAGATCAGCACAGCACAGTTTAACTTCTGGTTAAACTTACAGAATCTCATGAGTTTTATTTTGCTACATTAACGTTTAAGCCGTTTTAAAAATCTTTATATTGGTATCTCATATTTTAAAAGCTAAAGTATTTCCCCCCCTGACTTTTTGTCCCCCTTTTTGTCATTCCTAAATGTTATAAATCATCAAACAAATTTCCTTATCAGACAAATGTAAGTTAAGGAAATTAAAAAACAGTTTTCAAGCATGTTTTTTTATTTTTATCAAGGTGACAAAAAAAAATCTTTCCAAATGAATCTGGCCTTTAGTAAAAATGTAATTAGCTCCCTAATAATAACTGATGGTGCCATCAAGCATTTGCATTAACTGGTAATAAGTCATGATTTTTTTCTTTCTTTTTTTTTTTTTTTAGCCCTTTCCTGTTTGAATAATTGTCTTAATTCAGCCACATTGGAGGATTTTTGACCATTAAGGTAATGGCACATCATCTTTATTGAAGTCCAGGCTTTGACTAGTTCTGCTCCACAACGTTAATTTCTTTTTAATAAATGCCACAGTTCACTCAACACAGTCCGTTCCACTCTTGGATCCATGAATGAAAAACAGTCATACTCCCTTTACAACCATCAACCCAAAACTAAACAAACACAAACCACAAGCTCACCGCACATGACACTACATGTACACAACTCGTCCATTCAGCTTCCTCTCTGATACATTAGCAAAAACAGGTTTCAGTCTCTAACAGGAGTTATGGTTGCATGGAAGTCTTGCCATACGGGGCCACAGGAACTTTGTTTACAAGGACACTTCTCTTTAAAATACACAGTTCACTGCTGTTGAGTGTTGCAACGTAGGAATGATAAATACAATTAACCTCTGACAGGCTGAATCACAATGTTGGCGTTCCTAAATGAAAGGTCTGAGCAGTAATTCAAGCCACTCTCCTGCTGTTTAAGATGTGAATATAATTTACTACAGACTTGGAATCATTTCAGGCCATTTTTAACCGGTTCAAATCTTTTGTTAAATAATCAAAAAGAGTAGAGAGACTGCTATGTTTTTTTTTTTTTAATCTCCGTTTTTTCCAAGTATATATAAATATATCTGAATATATTTGTATTTACTGACACTGTCAACATATGATGCAATAAATGACAAGTGTGTCCATGCAGAAGATGTCCCTCAGGCCTTACGGACTTGATTTGTCTCCCTCCTCTTAATGGCAAATCATAAACCAGAAGACAATGTCCTCTGGTCACAAACACAGATTTCTGTTGTCCCTGTGATGTCTGAAATCAGAGAAGCAGCACATCCACATGCCAACACACAGGTTCTCATGCACAAAGCCAATCTTCAGAGTGGCAGTGTATTCACTTCCCGAGGAGCTGCAGAAGGCCACCCTAAGCCCCTTTCATCACCGAGACCACCGCAGTTGGAGAGCGAATACCAGGTTTCACCCCAACTAGGAAATTGACTTCTCATGGACTTAAGGGAGGATTTTCTACCTCCACGACACCTGATTCTGTTTTATCTTGTTAAATGTCCAACCCACTGCTGTCTTCCTCTTTTCTTCTTCAGCTTCCTCTCCTTTAGCCTCTTCCTTTTCATCAGCACCCCTCTTCTTTTCTCCCAAAATAGGTTTGTTTTTGGACTTCCCCAAGATTTAACCCCTCACCTCTGCTTCTGTGCCTTCGCTGGGCGGCTGGCTTTATTAAAAGAGGCTCCAGCTGAGCCCCAGAATGCATGAGTGTGTGTTTGAGAGGGGGAAAAGGTATTGAGGCCACACAGGAACTACATCAGCCTACTAAGTTAAAAACTCTCTCAAGGCGGAGATGCGCGCACGTCCTTGTTCGGAAACAACGTTAAATTGAACCCAGTGGCAGCCGACAACCTATGCTCACCATGGGAGGTGAGGAAAGATTTTTATAGATGCAGACTGCTTAGCTGCACTCTGATTATGCACAACATTCAATGTCAGTGATTACATTTCTATCCAGTTTTGGACAAATCCTTTGTCTCAACTTACACCCTTAGCAAGGGATTCAAATGCGCTCCAGAAGGTCCTAAAAACCAGATTCTTTCCTTTCCCGTTTACGATTATGAACTACCCTGTGATATATATAAATTGAATAGTGCTTTCTACACGTATTCATATAGATATGAGCTTATAAATACATTTATGTTTACAAGTTGGAAGACTGTGAAGACGTTTGCAATCCCTTCCACAAGAGTAAGAATCACTTTGGATTAAAGTGACCTGATCCAGTATAACAGCAGTTTTCACTTTCTCTTGCCTGACACAAAGCATCACTGAAAGCCAGAGTTTACTTGGCAGAGGTGAAAAGAGGAACAGTCGATCAAAGGAAAACTCAGGCTGAGGTTAAAGCGATTACACACACTCTTTGTGTCCACTCTGACCAGGTGTTGCTGCGCCGCTAAGTGGAGTTGGCTTTTATTTAGGGATTTTCAGGAAGAAATGTGTCTTTAAAATAGTCAACAAAAAAAGCTATTTTGGGATTTTAAACTTGTGTGGTTAAGTTTTCCGTGCCCTCCCCTCCCTCCTCTCTCTGTGTTTTTCTCACCTCTGGTGGCCAAAGATGTGAGTGTGTGTGTGTGTGTGTTTGTGCGCCTGATAGAGTCAGGTCTCCAGTGTTAAGAGCTTAGTGCTGATTTTCTAAAGAGTCCTTTTTAGAGTGAGAGGGGCTTTTGACACCCTTCGTGTCTAAGAAGACCTGGCCATGAAAGAGCTGCACTCAATTCTCACACATGGACCCCTCGTCCCTCCACCCTGTTCTTTCACTCTCACCCTGGACACACACACGCAAACTCAGACACACACACTGTTGCTCACTGTTGTACAGTTTCTGAATCTCTTTTGTATGGGAATTACTGCCACGAGATTCTTCCCAGGTCAGCCAAACTGCGGGCTCCCGTGGAAGTGGAAGTGCATGTGTGGCAGGGTACGGAGCTGGCAAAGCAGTAAATTAATCATCCTGTTTAAATCCCTTTCGGAGAACTTAATCCTATTAAGTATACAAATGTGTGAATGGGCGAAGATAAAGCTGGAAGAAGCGGAAAGGGAAAATGGGGGAAAAGGCACGGAGAGTGAGGAACAGGTGGTCAGAGTGAGGGAAAAATGAAGGTACGAGATGAGGCGGATGCTGGAGTGAGCAG